TGTGAATTGAATAGTGCCCTTTCAATCATTTGTAATTTCTTGGTTTGAGAATCATATTTTAATTTCCTGTTAAGTTTGAGGCTTTATTTCTTAACTCAGATTTGCAGACATGATACCATTGAATTTGCTGATCTCTTAGTGCTACCAATTACCATCTTATTCCCCTTCTTCTGCAGGTTATTTTTCACCCCCCTGCCCCCAGTGGTTTTATATGTATTCCGCTATATATTCTAGATGGACAGTGATTAGTATTTATATGTAAGGGTGTAGTTATATACATATGTTCGTTAGCATGTCTATATGTGTGTTTTGAGAGCAGGCAACAGAATTCATTTTTAATGTGCGCCAGTGTGCCCACAGTAAAAAATGACCGTAAAGGTTAACTTACCTTACCTTACCTTACCTTATCATCTTACCTTACCTTAATCTAAATTCCAAAGGGTGATTGGCATTCGACCTCCTAGCTTATTGTAGCAAATTTCACTTTAATGATTTTATGGCAGATTAATCAACTCTCTCACATTTTCCCCCACTTTCACAATGAGAACAAATTACCTTTTCAAGAATTCCAAATTGTGATGTCATTATACCAACCATCTCAACTGGATAATTACCAGATATTTTGCCTTTAAGCAAAAATTAAAAAAGAAAAAAAAGCAAGTACGGGATAAAACCCGATTAAAATAGTCTCTGCTCACTGTGGTATTTTCAGTAAATGTTCATTTTCATTTAAAAAGATGCAATATATTATCTGAAAGGAAGGTGTTTGTTTTATTTAATGCACTTGTCATATAAAAATAAACTAATTTAAATAGTTTTGTTGATGATGTTTAACATTTTACAGAGGAGGAGGAGGAGGACTGGCTGGGGCTGGTTCTGCAAAACAGAAAGTGAATATTGTGTCTCGTGTGATTTATTCAGGAATAGAATAAAGACTGGAAATAGCATTTCTTTTTGCAATTTAAAGGTTTATGCCTCTATAATACCTGGCTTTTTAAATGAGCACACATTTCCTTTTAAATGAAGGCTGCAATTGTAAATGCATTGTGAAATACAAAATCAAGGTCATTGAAGGCCTGGACCCTCAGTTCATTTTCCACTTCTAGTTAATATGCTGAGCAATGTAAGAAGGAAAAAAACATTTTGTGGATCTCTCCCCCCCCTCTTTTTCCTTCTGCATTTTATTAATGTACTATAACCTTGTCAGTATTATCTTTTGATGGGATGAAATTATCCTATTTCTCATTTCCTACACTTAAACGTTAGGTGAATATAATGAATACTTTCCAAAGTTACAGTAAAAGTAATGACCAAAGTCTGATGTATATTTGTGTGTCTGCGTTTTCCTTCACAAAGAAGATTTATAAGAAGGACATCTGGGTATTTAGGCTGTCTGTGAATTTTTTGTGGTGGATGAATAATGAGACCAAGGGAACAAACTTTATTTTGTCTACTGGACACTTGTTATTGAATATTGTAATAGCTTAATTGGATCATAGAAACATTACTTCCGAAATGTGGCGCATGCTGTGAAACATCACTATTTTCCTAGGGTATACATAAACTGTTTTGTTGTCATGGAAATCTGATAAAAAAAGCTTTTAATAAATATATCATTGTAAAGAAACCCACATGAAAAATGTGATGCCATATTCAATACAGGATATTGGCAGACTTCTAAAGGTGAACTTTAGATTAACCATTTATTTCTCAGCTCTGTGCTTTATTCTGTAAATGACAGAAAGTGGTTGTATTTATTTTTCCAACACACTTTGAAAGAAAATCAGTCAGGCTATAAATGGATCAGGTCTTGTTTTACTACTTTATCCATACTGGGTTCATAAAGTTGTAGCAAAATATTTTTAAGATTTTCGACTTTCATTTTTAGAATATACTAATATGACTCTTGAGGGAACAAGAAGGTGGAGTGAAAAAAGAAGATGACAGCTCTTATCAAACTGACAGAGGGTATTATTGCTGCAAGGTCTTTTTTGTGGGTCTTATGGAGTGTTGTACCACTCAGCGTACATCACTACTAATTTTATCAAAAGCCCTGAAGATCTATTTATTTACTCACGATTTCCTTGGACCAAGTTTCTTCGCATTTAGAACCCAGATTAATTCTATTATTTTGAAGGTGCGTGAGGAAGATTGTGTAATCATTTTAACTTAGGTGTTTAAAATGTTTTGCTACACTTTTCTGTACATCATTTTTTTTTTATTTTGTAAGCCACTTGGAGAGAAATTGTGATGAGGATAAAGCAGCTATCTTGAACCTAGTCCTGTACATGCATTGAATTGGAATATAGCCTTCTAGAATACAAATACTGAGGGACAGTGTGTTAGGAGAACAATAAACACATTGCCAGAGCACAGTTGCTTTCTTGCCCGGAAACTAGCATTATTTACCAACAGAAGTTCAATTGTTAGTTAATAGAGTGCCAATGAAAAGTATTTAGAAAGGAACAAAAGGGAAATCAAGAGAGTTATCCCCCCTGCTCCCCTAAGACATACCCAATTCCAGCAACCGTTCCCTATATGTTTTAGCCTCCAGTCCTCTAATCATCTTTGTTGTACTCTTTCTAGAGTCTCAACATCTTTTTTACATTGTGGTGACCAAAACCGGATGCAGTATTCCAAGTGTGGCCTTACTAAGGCATTGTAAAGTGGTATTAATACTTCATGTGATCTTGATTCTATTCCCTGTTAATGCAGCCTAGCCCTGTGTTGGCCTTTTTGGTGGCTGCAGCACACTGCTGGCTCATATTTAAGTGATTGTCCACTAGGACTCTGAGATCCCCCTCACAGTTACTACTATTGAGCAAGGTACCCCCTATACTGTACCTGTACATTTGGTTTTTCTTGCCTAAATGTAGAACCTTACTTTTTTCACCATTGAATTTCATTTTATTAGATGGTGCCCAGTGTTGTTTGATGTCATTCTTATTTCTTAACAAGGCTGCATTTTCAGTAGAAGACAATATATAGCTCAGGATTGAATTCTCTGAGTGTGGTTGTTTTCTTGCAGATGTTTCATTACACAACTAAGTAATGTCATCAGTGCTAAAAGTGGGTTGGGTTTGTTTTCTGTTTATATACCAGTGGCTTTTCTGTCAGTATTGGTGGAAATGGTCTTGATGATTCCTTGATTGGGCTATTGGTAACTGCTTGATTGCTGATGTAGTATTAATCTTGGTGTTAATCTCTGTTTATCTTTATGTGAATTGCTGGCAAGGAGGTGTTGTAGTCTTTTAGCTTTTTGCTTGTCTCTTTTGAATGGGATGCAGATGTTGCATTTGAGGGAGCTATGTGAAAACTCCACTGCTGAACATCAGAGAAGCTATAATATTGTTTAAGTTCTCCACTATGCTTTTTTTCATTAAAATTATCTGCTGTTTCTTCCCTTTCAACATCTCACCTTTTTATCATCAGCCCTCAGGTTTTCTTGCTATTTTCGATCTTGAGAGACGCACCTTAAAAAATGTGCTTAACAAGTCAGACTAAAATGTGAAGTTTCTTAAAAGACTTTTCTGATTAGCAGGTATATGTTCATCTGGATTGTGAGGGATAATTGTTCTTTCATTTTTAATATGAATTCACTTGTCCTTTTCTCTTACCAGATCAACTAATAGAAATTGGAATGGATGTTGCTATTCATAGTGTATTGAGAAAATCCATTAGTAGTGGCTGCAATGTCCATTTAGCTGTGTTTTTAATAACATCAGAATTCTGGATTCTGGGCTCAGAACCCGTTATAAATCAGTGTTATATTTGCTGTAATAAAGGTTTGAGCAAGCTTTAAGCAAAGTCTTCATTTTTATTGGAATGCATTCTGCAGTGATCATTGTAATAAAAGATTATTGCCTTTAGCACAGTTGGAAGTCCTCAACTTGTAACAGCAATTGGGGCCTTAATTTCCATCACTAAGTGCTGTGACCATAAATCCCTGCAGTTCCAGTTGCTGTTGTTAATCAAATCCCATATCAATAGTCAACTTTCTGCCAGCTTCCTACAACTAAAATCAGTGAGGAAGCCAGCAGAAAGTTTTAATCCCAGACTGGCAGGCAAGTGGCTGCTGCCAGAAAAGTGCAGAAGAGGGTCAACAAGTGTGTGCGAGGGTTGGGTGGGGAGGGTGTGTGAGAAATGTGGGGGTTGGGGAGGGTGCACAAGAGATGTAGGTCGGGGAGATTGTGAGGGAGTACACAAGAAGCATGGCACAGGTTGGGTAGTATGCAAGGGGATGTGCAAAGAGCATAGGTTGGGGACGTTGCATTAGAAGTATGGATTTGGGGAGGGTGCACAGGGTTGTACAAGTGGCCAGTGTGGCACAAATGCAGAAGGATTGTGGGAAGGTGCATGGGTGGGGGAGATTGAACCCAGTGAGTTGCAACTTTCCCTGCCAGCTTCCCAATAGAATTTCTGGGGAAGCTGGGAGGAAAAGTTGGAAATGGTGATCACATGATCACCGGTCATGTATTGCATGACCGGTCAAAAGTGTGAACTGGCTGCCAAGGACCCAGATTGCGATTTCATGGCTGCGGGGAAGTTTGGATGGCCAGAACTCTGAAGACTGATCTTAACTGGCATTCACTTAGCACCATTGTAACTTTGAATAGTTGTAACCTTCTGATTCTTCATATGGAAAATGTATTTTTAGACAGAAGCACATTCCTGCTGAATTTGAACAAAGTGTTCATGATGAAACCTAATCAACAGATGGATTTTAAGGAAGGAAATCTTGCTGCCTCATTATCTACTTCATTTGCCCCACTAGACTGGTAAAAAATAAATATTTTCCTGCTAAAGTAGCATGTTGAGATGATCACGGAAACATTTTTGTTTCATTGGTCCATTGTGACACATCAAAGACATATTTACCTTTCAGTCATTCGAGAGACTTTGACAGCAAGCTCACATCATGGGGGTTTGAACTTCATTGGAACAGACCTTGTGTAGGACAAAAGGGAAAAAAAAGAAACATCTGTGTAATTGCTTTTCAGGGGCTCGTAATGAAGAGGTAGCATTAATGAATGGTTTGACAGTTAATCTACATCTCCTAATGGTAAGTCATAATAACCTACATAGTGTCTAGCTAGATGAAACTATGCAATAGATAGTGCAGAATTTGTTTGTGCATCTCTTGAGACATCAGTACAACGTGGTATCTATCTAGCTGGATTAAAATTTGTCCCTTGGTATTTGGTTTAGGAATTCTGAAGAGTGTACTGAAATAACTATCCTGGGTTTACAAACAAGCCAAAACAAAACAACAAAAAAAGGGCTATGCAAATCTAATGTGAAGATTGACATAAGTGATAGTAATGGCATGGAGTGAAGTGACTCATTGCTTGCCTTCAAATACCTGGAGTAATATATTGGGCTGTCTAATTAAAGTGCTTTGACATGGAACTAATCAACACTTAGCTTTCAAATGTCATGGAAACTGTCCTAAAACAAGATATGCAAGCATGTACTTACAAAGAAGAAAGAGAAGATAGCTACCCAACTCCAACGTTCATCCTCCTCCTATTTTGTATCTCAGGACTGTGGGTTTGGTAGATAATTAACTATCAGATAATAGAGGAAACTAGTAAACCTCCTGTTCATATAAGTCTATAATAAGATAGACTTGATCTTTACAGAAAGAGCAAGCATGCCTTAAATATCATGTTAAAAATCATCTGTTCAAAAATAGGTTATATGTATTTTTAGTTTTAGAAAATTTAGCCCAAACTCACTGAATCTTATTTCTCTGTCATTTATGGCACTCAGCATTTTTCCCTGTTTTATTATTTTCGGTTTTATATATTTGGCATATCAGTTTCTCATATTATTTAGAGAAAAATGGGAAACTCTTATTTTTTTCTAGAATCGTCTTTTGATTCTGGTCCAAAGTGCAATGCCCAGCCTTTGATATGATTGAAGTTAAATCCGGCTGTGTACCATGGCACCAAATCAGGCCTAGATGGATATCTGTGATTAGTGCGTGTGTTTATTTTTTTAAACATATACAGTAGAAAAATTTTCTTTCTAAATAACATCAACAGATTTTTATCAGGCACTTAAAAGCAGAATTTAAAAGTATGTACAACTCTTGCTTCCATGTGTCTCTCCAAAGTGACATTTTGATTGTTACCCTGACATTCCTCAGAAGCTATTACAATGCAGAGTGATTTATTTGCCAAGAAACGATTATTTCTTTCAAATTTCCAGAAGTAAAAGGAACACAAAACTTTAGGGATATATAGAGTAGAATTACCTTTCTGCAGCTTCTGAGAAACACTATACCATAATATGTATAGACATTGATCCTGTATAGACGTTGAATAGAAATTGATCATAACAGAATAATATAGTGACATTTCTATCTAGCACCTCATCTTTTCATAAAAGCTTTCTGAAAATTTTTATGTATGATGTGTTTATATATAGCACATGATATCTTAAAATAGCTTGTACTAATCTATTCTTCAGGTAACATTCTAAAATATAGTAGATTTTATTCCATCCTATATGTTGTAAGAGGATTTGTTGTTATTTTTTTACAATTATTTTATTAGACAGATCAGGCAGTATATAAACAGATGTGGCCATACTTTAATATTCATAAACCCTCTTTTTTATATAATGCTAGTTAAAGTAGATAGAATTTGATAACATTTAGGATGTCACCAAGTACCTATTCCTATTTTAGAACAGAATTTACAAATTGATAATAGAGCAAGCAAATTGAGAAAAAAGTTGTTTTGCATTTGAATTCCTTTGGCATCTTCAAGTCATTGCTTTCCTACTGCAGTAAAAAAAAATCTCTATGGAGAAATATGCTAATTATCTTCACTGCCTATAAGAAAATATGTAGAACATCTGGATATCTGATTATGTGACATAAAGAAAAACTTCTATGAATCGATTGTTTTATAAGAGCCGTGATGGTGCACTAGTTAGAATGCAGTATTGCAGGCTAATTTGATCTTGACCAGCTCAAGGTTGACTCAGCCTTCCATCCTTCCATCCTTTCAGATGGTTGGGGGCAATATGCTGACTTTGTCAACCGCTTAGACAGGGCTATAAAGCACTATGAAGTGGTATATGGTCTAAGTGCTATTGCTATCTTTTCAGTGGATTGATAAATATTTCATTTTAGATAACATAAATCTGTTTTATATTTACAGTTGACATTTTTTAAGCCTACATTCTATCGCCATAAAATCTTTTTAGAAGCCAAAGCATTTCCTTCTGATCAGGTAAGCAATTAATATTTCAACATATCTATGCTATACAATTTTGTATGTTACCTGATTATTTATTAGATGCTCTTTTTTAAAAAAAAAACCTTAAAAATCCAAGTTAGACACAATCCTTTTGAAATTGACATTTTTTTTTACTGATTGGCCTTTTTTGTTGTTGCTGTTCAAATAAAAATTGTATGGGAGTAAAAGATTGAATTGCCACACTGATTGATTAATCTTTTAAAGATACTGAGCAAGCTATTGACCTAAATCAACAACAGGTTGTAAATGTTTTATTAATTCTTGTTGCTGTTTTACTTTATGAAACCAAATCAATACAAAACTCATACAATTAACAGTTTTATATCCCCAGATAGATAGAGAAATTCTTGTCGAGGGTGCTTTAGATTACTAAGTCAAACATCATTTGTGTGCTACAAAGTAGGACAATAGGCAGTGAATCAGAGACTTAAACACATTAATCTTCACGTTTGTGAGTCACTACTGATATCTCAAATTTAACAAAATGCTTGGAATCAGTGAGAAATTTGTTCAATTAAACATTATAACATTCCCTCCAATAGACTTGTTATATGGGGTAACACAGGTCAGTTGGAACATTTTTTTACGACAAATACTTAATTTGCCATTCATAAGTTGCATGTAATATAGCTTTCACTTTCCAAGGTAATATTATGTTTGGGGAAAATATTATTACATATATTCAGCATTCAAAAGTGACAGGGCTATTAAATTCACAATGCTGTGTGGAATGCAGTTGTAAAGCTGCAAAAAAGTTACTGATGATAATAAGGGATACCAACTACAGACATCCAATTCTAATCCTTTCTTGTATCTCTGTCTGCAAACGGAAATCATAATAGTGCTTTGTTCTTCCCAAAGTAGAAAGAATTAGAAGAAAAAAGGAGACCTTCCCATTGAGCCTTTTCTGTGTTATGATCCAGCATTGCTAGTGGCTCTTTGGGAATGAAGCAGACACGTAGGTAGATTACATCTGAAGTAATTGGTCTTCCATAGCTCAATCATAATGAGAGAGAAATGAGCAAGCGAGATGGTTGCGCAATGCTGTCATTGACATGCTGTTCCTCATCAAAAGTATCTGCCATTTTTGACATCTCCTAAACTTTCTATATTGTCCAAGGAGATGTTCAATGATTTTTGTCTAGTCTCCTTTATGGTCTGATATTTCCCGGTAGTCTCCCAACCAAGTCCTAAGCAACCCTAACTCTGCTCAACAGCAGAACATAGGCAAGGTTGGACATCCTAAAGGTGCTTTTTCGAAAGGCAGCTGGACTTTGTTTTTCCTTAAAGACATTTTGATTCTCATCGAAGAAGCTTCTTCGGTCACTGAAGAAGCTTCTTTTGGATTAGAAATGAAATGTCTTCAAAGAAAAACAAAGTCCAGTTGCCTTTTGAAAAAGCACCTTTGGGATAACTATGACTGGATGACTGAGGATCTCCGTAAGTTGGACAACTGCTGTCACCTGCTGGGACTATGTATCAGGTTATCCAGATTCACATATGGTATGGCTACCTGATCTGTGCTATAAAAATATAGATAGCTCCAAGGTGGGCACACTCTTTATTACTGTCTAATGATCAACTGAATATTTTAGCCCAGGTCTAGTATCCCTGAAATATGTCAGTGTAAACAATACTAGATCATAGTGCAGTAATGTATCATCACAATAATTTAGCACTATTCATATTTTTGGAATCTAAAGAACTGGTTGATACCAGAATAAATTATATGTGTCTCACTCAGTATTATCTACTCTGATTCACAATGACAGGTGTTTCACCCTGCCTACTATTTCATCCTCTAAACCATGAATGCCAGTCATTCAATATACTGTAAAACTCTTTCATGTAGACTTTGCATATCCTAAGCCTAGTGTATTAATTAATTGGTATTAATTAATTGTTTATAACAGAATGATTTGTTTTGCTTTTACATCTGTCCGCTTTTTTAAAAAATATCTATTTTTTTTTCACAGTATGCTGTTGAGTCTCAGCTCCAGTTTCATGGGCTTGATAGGGAGAAGAGTATGCTTATGATTCAACCACGAAAGGTTTGTTGAACATGGTTTGTATCATGCTAGACAATTCACGGCCTTCAACATACATGAAGCCGTCAGCATACAACTTTAAAGCTCCTAGCATCAAAAATGCTCTCACTGAATTTTGGCAACAAAGTGGCCAAATCTCACTGAGATGATTTTTCTTCAGCAAAAAGCCATTGTTGATACTCCTGAAACTCCTACTCACGGTTGCAGTTTTTCAGGCCAATTGTGGTCCTTTTGGGGTTTTTTCAGGTTTTGGTCAGAAATTGGAGTAGAAAGTCTTGGGAAATAACTGTTCTCATCCTCATCCTTAAACCCAGTGAAAACCCTAGGAAAACAACCTCAAATTTCCCTTTTTTTTCAGGGTTTTACATAAATGTATTTTATATTAATACACTTCACATTAATTCCTTTCTTAATGTGGAGATTAGTACGAGTGTGATTCCCAGCAACTTGTTAACCAATAGCCTACATACTTTTGTAGCAATGGTAGCTAAATCTACTGTTAATTGCTTTTTGAAAGAAAAGTTAATGCTAGAGTCATATTTTTCTAATTTTCTCTGCCTAAATTGCCTTTCTGAAGGGATGGCCTCAGGATAGTTTCATTAGAGGCAATAACCAGAAGGCAGAAACTCATGTGCTTTGGGTGTGAGACATTAATTCAATAGACACTGTTTCTCAACATTGGCTACTTAAAGATGTGTGGACTTCAACACCCAGAATTCTGCAGCCAACATGGCTGGTTGAGGAATTCTGGAAGTTGAAGTCCATACATCATTAAGTGGTCAAGGCTGAAAAACAGTGCACTAGCCAATGCTTGACAAGCCAATGCTTGATAAGGTTAAGGAAACAGAAGGAAGGGGAGACAATGGATAAGACTGATGGAATGGATGAAAGAGTTACTGGAATGTTTTGGAAATAAATATGAATTATTAGGTAGATAGATAAAGAAGATGAACATTAGTCCACACAGTCACCAGAAAATGAAGCCTAGCTTGGGGACTGATAGTTACATTATTTAACAAATATATAGAAGAAGTTTATATTTATATTTAAACAAATTTTAGTAAAGGTTTCATACTCTATAGGTTGGAACATACCACAACTCTAAACAATAAAATAATGTATAAACATAAGTCCCTACCTCTATGTATCCACATGCTATAGTTTTTGACAAAAAGCTGGGGGTATATAAAATAATACATCATAAACTGTTATGACTGAAATATTGTCAACATATTACTGCAGTAGTGACTGTAAAGTTTCTGGTTAGGAAAGAAGTGTTTTCCAAATTTATAAAAGATTGCATTCTAGTTTTTTGACGTGAAGAACTTTTGTTACTTTTCGACAGAACTGCTGTGAACTTTTGATTCCAGCAAAAAAAGGTTTTCAGAGAAGAAACTACTCTCAAGTTCTTGATAAATGTTAAAATATAATTAAGATAATAGAAATTACTTTCAAATCAGTAAATCTTATGCCAATTTTTTTTTTTGCAGTGATGTATTTAACTTAATTTGGAGTTTTCACTGCTTAATTGATCCCTTGGTAGGGATATGTTTTACATCATCCCTTGCAGTGAAGGAGAGATGAAATGATTTTGGCTTTAAAGCATCAAAAGATCTTGTTTTTTTTTCCTTTATTGAATATTTTTCCTTAGTTAATAACTTTGGAATTTTTTTTCATCTTTGGATTATTTGAATCTTATTGTTCTGAAATAAAAATACCATTGAGTAAAACGTTTAATAACATTTTTGTGGGATATGGGCTGTTTCTGGAAGTATCAAGAGGAATGTATGAGTTAGCTTCAGCCATTATAATCTTTTAATTTTGTCCCTGGAATGCTGAATTTGGCAAAATATTTTAATCCTTAAGATTGTCAAATAAGACCTTTGTGTGATTGAAGAACATAAGATATATTCATTCATTCCATTTACTCCTGTTCTTTTATTAGCTATTTCACCATTTCTTCTTTTCAGTCCCCTAACAGTAGTTGTTTTTCTACAAAATCCTATTCACCAATAAGCACAATGATTTATGTTCATATATTGGTAAAATGATATTTGGAATTTTTACAGCACTTTTTAACTGCTTTGAATGTTTTACACAGATTCTTGGAAGTCCTTAAAGGTTAAGTTTTGGGATGACATAACTTTACTATTAGGTCAACTTCTGAGCATTGCATTTTAACAATTCAGGGAAACTGGAAAAAATTAAGAGAAGTTTCAGAGGTGCAGAGAATAATCTTTATGAAGAAAGTCAAAGGAGCTGGACCTTGAAGACAGAAAACTCAAGAAGGGTAGGAAAGCAAATTTAAATTAGCCGAAAGAATTTCACACAGAAGAAAGTCAAAAGCTGTTCTTTAATACTCCAAAGGGCAGGCCATTGAGGAATGGATTTCAAGTATGGAAAGGAAGACTCCAAATGAATTTTACAAGAGGGTTGAACTTGATTTCCCACCAAGCTAACTTGAAAACTAATTAAACAGCACAGAGAAATCCAGGAACTCCTGCAAAGTCACTTCTTAGAGAAAAGAGCAGCCTACAAAAATGACTCTCAACAACTGCAGTGTATCAGAAGCAAAACGTTAATATAAGGTTGAAAGTTAGGAATGCGTGTAATATATATATATTTGTTTGCTGTATGTTATTGAAGTGGGCCAGTCCATCCTTGTGGGGCAGGGAACGTAGTTTTTATTCATCCATCCATCCATCCCTCCCTCCCTCTCTCCTCTCTCTCTCTCTCTCTTTCTCTTTCTCTTTCTCTGTGCAATGAACAGATATGTTATTATATGACCCTGGAAGAACATTGTCCCACACTAATGGCATAAATGGCGTGTTTCAGTTCTAAGGGTATATGGTTTTATGAATACTCTCCCCATGATTGCAGATTTATGATGCAAATTTAGGTAAAATGGTAGTTTTGCCCCATTTTGTGACTTTTCTTGCCACATTTGTTAAGTTGTTAAGTTAGTTACACGGTTGTTAAGTGAATCTGGCTTCCCCATTGACTTTGCTTGTCAGAAGGTCTCAAAAGGTGATCACATGACCCCGGGACACTGCAAACGTCATAAATATGAGCCAGTTGTCAAGCATCCAAATGTAAATCACATGATCATAGGGATGCTGCAATGGTCATAAGTGTGAGAAATGGTCATAAGTCACTTTTTCAGTACCTTTGTAACTTTGAAAAGTCACTAAACGGATTATTGTAAGTAAGGACTACGTGTATAACTTAATCAAATAAGAGCTGGAAAAGCTTCTTGGATGAGAAGTGAAACATCTTCAAAGAAAAACAAGAAAATCCAGTTGCCTTGTGAAAAGCACCTTGGGTCAAAAAATAAGAGTTTTGTTGTAACAGAATAAATGCCCATCCAGTCTTGCATCTCTCAGTGGACTCCAGTGAGTGCCCATTAGAAACTTAAAGATATAGTTGTCTTTGCTACTATTCCTCCATTGGTATTCCTGACTGAATGCAGAAATTTCTTGTACTTACCGTGAATAAATTCTCATGGATACAACTCCTCTATGAAAAGTTCTATGAGCTGTAGATTTGTCTTTGTATTTTTTTTTTAAATCCAACCAATTAATTCCATCTTGAAGTATTCAGGTAAGAAAAGTATATAGGGAAGCAAAGCGAACAGTAAATTTTTTAAAAATCTAAAGCTTAAGGTAATGATTACTCGCCTATTTAAAAGCTTCTCCAGGATTCCTAGTTTTGTACCTCACTGCAATTTTAAGAATTTGTTCTTGATGGCTTCCTGCAGTCAGCAAGTTGTATTATAAAAAAATACATTATGAAATAAAAATGACAGTTCCATTAGTTCCAGGGCTGATATAAAATATGTTCTAACTTTATTTCAGGGGGAAAAAACCTTGAGAACTGAAGATATCCTTGATATAATTGAGAAGGAAGGAGACTCAATTGCTGTAATTCTTTTCAGTGGGGTGCAGTACTACACTGGACAGCTGTTTGACATACCAAGGATAACAAAAGCTGGTCAAGCCAAGGTATAGTTATTGCCATGTTCCTTAGATCAGTCTTCCCAGACCTGACAGTGTGTAGATGGGTTGAAAGTGCCAGTCCCATAATTTGAGTCAGCCAGGCCTGGGAGTTGAAGTTACAGAACTAGTACTTCTAGATTTGAATTTTCCTTTGCTATACTCGACTTATTTTTATGAGTAGGAATTGAAGAAAAATGTCAGTCGATAACAGTGATAGTAGAAACCAAATCATGTGTTGCTAATGTTGATTGGTCAGTCCTTCTCAAATTTTGACATATATATTGAAATTGATAATACTGATATTTCTGGAAAGCATTTTAAAATGCCAGTTCTCAGGCATTACAATCCAAGCCATAGCACTGAAGGTAAATTTAATTAAACAAAAAATTCTATAACGTTAAGCTGGAGAGTCAGACAATTACCATGAATAGGTTATACAACAAAGTCCCAGAGTTATACAGATCTAACCTGTACATTTTTGTTTGTTTAAAACTACTTACTTAATTGTGGACTAGATGTGCTTTCTACTGAGTGGCTTATTTAATGCCTAGACAATTTGTGCATTATATATTACATAATATTGGAATGCTGTTTACATTTGCGATGAAATTAAAATACATTTATTCTATCTAGAATAGAGACCATAATATAAACCGGACATGTCAAACTCGGATGTCACGTGACATCGCGCAATGTATCGGAGCTTTTTCGCCATTGCTGGCAATGGGGTGGGCGCGGCTCCGGTACAAAAGAATAGACTCTTTAGTTCTCTGGTTTATACAGTTTAAATTTAATTTCCTCCAAAGAAGTCTTTTTTTTTAAATTAATATGTATGGTTATTGTTCTTCCATACGCAAATTCCTTTCTGTAAGCTCTTTGATTTTTTAAGCTTTCTGTGAAACTTTTTGAAAACACATATTCCTTTTAGACTCATCTTTCAGGCTGACTGAATTTTGTAAATTTTTTTCAGCAGGGCATAAAGATGCTAGCAGTAACTGTTAATTTGAGGGGACCATATCACAACAAATCCTTTGGTGTTCTTGAGTACAGTATTTCACATGAAAACAGATCTGTTGCTTTTTAAAAATAGTGATATTGTACATACCAGAGCAGCCAGTACAGTTAGTCCTCAACTTACAACAGTTCATTTAGTGACCATTCAAGTGAACAAAGGGACTTAAAACTATTTTTCACTTACAACGGTTGCAGTAGCCCCGTGATCACATGATCAAAATTCAGATGCTTGGCAACTGACTCATATTTATGATGGTTGCAGTGTCCCGGAGTCACGTGACCCCTTTTTGCGACCTTCTGACAAGCAAAGTCAATTAGGAAGCCAGATTCACTTAACAATCAAGTTACTAGCTTAACAACTGCAATGCTTCACTTAACAACTGTGGCAAGAAAGGTCGTAAAATGGGATAAAATTCACTTAACAACTGTCTCACTAAGCAGCATAAATTTTGTGCTCAGTTGTGGTCATAAGTCGAGACTACCTGTATACATATTGATGGAAAACCTCTTCAGCATAATTTAAACCCCTGACATGGATTCATTTTAATGCTTTAGAAATGGTCTAGGCCTGCATTTTAACTGTCCCTGTAAGAAAAGACCCAGGATATGTTTCCTCAGCAAGTGATCCAGGAGGTTGCTTTTTCCTCAAGGTTTGGTCACATTTTGCTGCATTTTTCTTTACCCAGACTGCTATATGAATTTCTGGTGATGCTGACACCATTCGTATTCAGCTCAGCAGCTGAACAGGAAACAAACAGATTACTGACTATATCACCTCCATGAGGTAACTCATTTTCAGTGACCTGGCCTTGGGGAATTTACTAAAAAATATAGGCTCTCTGGACACATTTCAGGGATTTGTTTTAACCTCAGGGATCAGAAAGAACAATAGTCAATTAAGTTTTCTTATCAAGAGGTCAGCAGAATTTCAGAAGTTATTGGAAATACTTGTTTTATCTCTGTGTGTATGCTATAAAAAAAAACAACCAAACAACGAAGTGCAGAAAGGGAAGGGTGCATTCTAAGTACAATGACAAAACTATCGTTGCATTGACTAGGAAAATTTGCACATAGGCCAGGGATTGGCAACCTTGGCTCTTTTATGACTCGTGGACTTCAACTCCCAGAATTCCTGAGTCAACTATGTTGACTCAGGAATTCTGGGAGTTGAAGTCCACGAGTCATAAAAGAGTCAAGGTTGCCTACCCCTGACATAAGCAGTTGGTCCCTCTCATTAAAACACCACTTTAAAAATTATATTAAATTTATTCATAAAGCGTATCTTCCTTGGTCATTAAACCTTTGATTTTTCTCAAGGCACTGTAATGGTGGATTAATAACATGTTCCCTCCCATCTATGAGATATCAAGACGTTTTGGTAGCTTCTTTGGTTGTGTTGTGTGGTTGAGTCATTGATAGCAGACAAATCAGACAGAGTAGTCTGTCTGGTTTCTAGTATTTTTGGTTCTCCATAAAAATGTGGGAGGATGGGTCCACAGCTTTTCACATAGCATTGCTCTTCTTCCATAATTTGTTCTCTCTTGGCTATAATATTGAGGGTTTACCCATAAGATAGTGGCAGGTTTACATCTCTGGGAGATGAAAGAAAGCTATCTGTGCTCACACCATGGATGGAGCCTTTCAAAAAGATATTGTGTTTGCCTACTTCTTTTTCTGATTGCTTTCAGAAATTGCTTGTTAATTGCTTTTCAGCTTTTAAAACTTTTGGATCAACATGTTTTACAGCACTGGGTCAGTTTCTTTCAATCCTTAGTGACAGAGGTTTTAACTACAAGTTGAAGGACTTAAAATAATTTTGGAATAAACAGCAAAAGGTTGATTAGAGCTTTGATTCTCGTAAGTTGTAAATGAACGAAGGGTTAAGGTGGATTTGAAATAAGATTTTAATTATAAGGATCCGTCCCATGAGAAAATACTTTTGTTTTGAATTCTCTTTTTTAAAAAAATGTAAGATGAGACTTTGAAGGTTGGATATTAGAGAGAACCAGAAGGAACTAAGGTTGCAATTAAAAGAGAAGAACACTTAAATTTGACTTCCTGAAACACAATGGAGCAAAGTATTTTAATATTCAACATATTGAAGGATATTTTTGAACAATAGACATAGAAATTAATTTTAAGAGTCTCTGCCTCTATATGTAGGTTGTATCTAAGGAAGAGGGGCAACTTTTACTTGATAAGAAGACAGAGTTGAAAGTGAATTTCTATAAGAATAACATGGAAAAAAGATGCTATATTACTATGTATGCAAAAGAAACTGTTTGATTAAAATGAAAAAAAAAGATTTGCATATAACAAATCAAAAAGGGTGACCTGGGTAACTTTCCTAAATTGGCTTTACAAAAGAGACTTGTTAAAGCTTTGAAGAATTTTGTGAGAAGGTACAAAGCAAAAAATGAAAAGCAGTCAAGTTCTAGGACATTATTTGAATGAACTGAAGAGTAAGCTCATTAAAAAGAAAAAGGAGGAATATGAAGCCAATGTAAAACAATACAACCAACCAAGCCAGATAGGCCAATCAAAAACACAATCTACAACAATCTTGATCAAGACACTTTGGATAAAGCTAGATTAAAAAAGCCAGAAAATCCCACTCCTGCCTCTCAGTGCACTGATAACATTACTTAATTTGGAAATGAAACGTTTGTAAGAAAAACAAGCAGAGCAAACATAAAAATTCTCACACCATAATTCTGAGCTGTATGTACAGTATGCACCAATATTTTAAAAAGCTTTAACAATTTCATACTTTGTAACACAATATTAGCTAATATATGGGTTCTAACATATTTGAAGGGCTGAGAGCCACACCTTAGCCTTCTGATTTTCTGCAAATTGCTTCCATGACAGTCTCATATTTTTCTGAATGATTTTTCCCAAGTTCTTTGGAGACTTATTATTGTGGAACCATTGATATCAGAATGACTTCACCTATATTAAATTGCATAATTAGATCTTAGTATTATCTTCTTTTATGTTTGAGGAGCTGTTCAATGCTTAGAGCAGTGGTTCTCAACCTATGGGTCGGGACCCCATTTGGGGTCGAACGACCATTTCACGGGGGTCGCCAAACAACGCAGTCTGCCATTTTTTCCCCTTTTCCTTAGTTGTGCTACTCCCTTTTATTCTATTGGCTTTTGAAAGCCAATAGAATAGACTCTCTTGAATAGAGTCTAATTCTATTGGCTTTCAAAAGCCAATAGGAATTGTCCAGGCTGTTTCTGCCCTGCTGAGCTCGCCAAAAGTCCCATTCTGCAAATGGTGCTGCACCAGTTGAGTAGTCCTCGACTTACAACCAGTTGAGTAGTCCTCGACTTATGACCGGTTGGGGGGGTCGCGGAATTAAAAAGGTTGAGAACCACTGGCTTAGAGTTTTAGTTATTATACAGTAAATCCAATAAGTAAACAATAAATGATATCATAGGAAGAGTTAAGTTGAAGTGTTAGGAAGGATTTTTTTTTTCATATTTTTGGGTGATTAAATAGTGGAAAAGGCTGTGCGAGGTTTCTGAAAGACATATCACTTCTATATTTTTAAAATCCCTATCTAAAATGAAAAAAAATGTGAAATCCAGAAGTGCCAAGGGAGATCAAGGCCAGATGTTGTGACATAAGCTCTGTCCATTTTGTTCATGTGCTGGGACAATGCATGTATGTATGAAAAGAATGGAGGTTATGGTGCATTTTGTTGCAATCTCAGGATCCTTCTGATATCTCTACACAAATCATGCTGTATATGCAGTGCTCAAATGCTGAATTTCAAAAGAATAATTCTGATAGCTTTCTGGTGATTGAGATAAGATGGGAATGGAAACAGTTTATTTCTGACAGAAATTCTACTTCCCATACCCACTTCTAATTTCTCCAAAAACGGCATTGGAAATTGGCCATTTTGTTGCTTTGTTGGCATTCAATACAGTACAATACAAAAATATGTACTGCATATGCATTATAGGCGTGGCTGCTGCCAA